GTTTTTCTTGCCTCTTATTGTCTTGTTGGGTTCCCTCACTCACTTCCTGTTTGTTGTTTGTCACCATTATGAAAACTGTGCAATAATACTTTATGATTTTAGGGATGTAGTTAGCCTCATGGGAATTGGCTATGATTACACATTAAAGTTTCAAACCACCCAAAGGTAAGATACCATCAAACTGTATGAGTAGGACAGAGCAATACCTTTTTTTATCCATAAAAACTGATGACTACAGCTCCCATGTGTGAACGTGAAGCAGGGCGTTGCCGAAAAAACATCAAGCGTGCTCGGCAAAAGCCTCCCTGGATAAATAAAAGGTTTGAAAACCGATGCCAGCTCAAATTAGAATGAGAGTACATGAGAAAGTACGAGCTGTGCCTGTGCCAAATGAACATCTGAAATGCGGCAGCCTGATTTTGTTTGTATTTTTGTTTTACTCCACTGAACTGCGAGGACTTAACGAAGCAGTTGTCCAGTGATTTGGTGCAGGAAACCAAGCAACAAATGAAAGGCTAACAAGTTTAGCCTTTTTCTGTGGGTCACTGATTGAGATAGGGTCTCAACAGCACGGATAGCAGGGAACGGCTGAAACTATCGGGGGCCAGATATGTTGTTTAATAATGTCATTCCTTCCTTCATTCCAGCACAAAAAAACATATTACATAACCGAGTGAGATCAACAGTTACCTTAAACAAGAATTTTGATGTTTGATTTGATCAGAGTTCATTTGCCTTTTACTGTAATCCAGCAGGAATGCAAATCTCAACCCTAAATAATCTCTCAAATACCTGTTGCCTTTTTTATGGTTAATGTATCTTTACGTTTCGAAAGAGTTTCTTCTTTTGGCCAAAAAGAATGCGATTAAACTTAAACTTACGGTAAATGTACAAGCGGAATGCCAAAAGACAGCACTATTATTTAGAAAACGAAAACAAAACATTCTCTATTGGAGAGTAGCCATTTTTGGTGTTTGTCTCCATTGTTGTCTGGGCGAATCGTGGCCACCTGTGCACCAGACAGTCGTAAACATTTGTTATCAACACATCCAGCCTATCGTGCTTATCGCCCAAGTCAAAACAAAAATGACCTAGGCAGACCTAGGCACAGTAAACACATCATTCAGGTTCCCTGCTTGTAAATGAGCCTTCAACACAAAGAACGTCACAGGAAATGGGCCTTGTTGTGCTCTATCTTGTTTCCTTAACAGTGAGCTACTAAGTTCATTAGGACTGTAAAGCATAACACCAACCTCTTGTTAATCTTGGCTGTACCTGCCACTGAAAAATACCTATCAGAAGGCCTGTCCCTTACCTTCTTTTTTGAGATCTGCCTGTTTGAGCCTTGCCTTTCTCTTAGAGCAGCTTGATGATGTGGTTTGAAACAGCTGTCTGCAGCTGCAGCCACCCTCAACAACCCTCTGTTTTCTCAGCGGCATAGTGCCAATGTTTAGTCAGTTTCCAGAGCGTCTTGCCTGGTTGAGATCGTGTCAATAACAGCCAGCTCTCCAGGTGAATCCTCCTCAACCCCCACTTCCTCCGCTCCCTGCTGCTTTCATCTCTCTATCTCGAATGCCTTGAAGACGTGACTTGGCTCATTTTAGAAAAATTCCTTCCTTTTACCGTTTTCAAAACTGCTCATTGTGTTTTGCTACAGGTGCTTAAAGATTTTTTTTCCTCCTCTCCTATCGTGGCACTGGATTTTTTTTTCTCCCACCCCCCTATCTGTTGCCACTGAGGAGCCCTGTCCTTATCCAATAAAATGTCACCACACAAGATGAACAAGAACAAAGAGGCTCAAGGTATATCAGACTTCCTATCAAGCATTTTGTTTTGAACAGGAGCACCATAAACGAAAAAAGTGCTCACCACATTGTGCTCTGTCTCCTCCAATCAGCTGTTTCCATTCTTGAGAAATGCAGTAAACATTTAAGCCGTTATCAGGCAGTTGTTGACGCTTCGGTGGGTTTAGCTCTTCGAGCATTGAAAGCTTGACTTCTATAGTATGACTATCAAGTCAGATCTGCTCTTGTGCAATAAATATTTCCTACTTGTTATCACCCTGCATATTTTAGTGTCGATATATACATCTATCTATCCATCTATCGACATATATATATAAGTAAAATGCCTGTGACCTGCACATTTGGCACAAAAAGCATAATTTTACAGCCTCATCTGGACAATAAATATACTAAATTCCATTTAATCCAGTGACATATTTGTCATTCTTTACAAAACCAAGCATCTGATAAGGTTTATTTCCAGACTGGCTTGATGCCATGACACCAATGTTCAAATGCACAAACATCCCATGGCATATCTACCGCATAAATAAGCAGGATATAAATTCTTTGAGATTCTTTTTTTTCTAGATGTATTGTCATCACTCAGCAGTTATAACAACTTTTCCGTCTGTGGCAGCTGCAATATTTCAGAGGAAGGCAAACACAGTCTGACACTGCCAAACTGCTAATGTGTTGACACGCGAGGCTTTGTTGACAAAAGGTCGTCTATGGTTCTTGGCTCTAATGTAGCACTGTGATCCTTTTGTGTAGCAGAAAATGCTCAATGAAGAAGAACTCTACTGAAGATTAACAATATACTTGGTAGCGGTTTGCACTAAATCTGCAAAATACTCCAAAGGTGATCTGTGCAGTTTACCTCTAATGCTTTGTCAAGTGTGACAGATTCTTGAAAAAGGTGCTTATAAGCAGGTTATTACATGTGGGCAAATTAGGCTTGTCAGCAAGTTTAGCTCTGTTTGATAAAACACCCAAATAAGGTTAAACAAATTTATTTTTTACGTTTGATGAAAAGTTTGAAGCACAAACAATAGATTTTCTTAGAGAAATGTTATTTTGACTAAATAACTAATACTAAACACATCCATGGACGGGATTCGGCCTGAATTGGCAAGTAAAACCCTAACATTTACAAAGATATATAAAGTCATACAGAATATTTAACAAAAAGTGCACATGATTTTATGGTAGAGAAGTAGAAGGCAAGACGGTTAAAAATATTGGTTTAATATGATAATTTTAAAAAAACAAACAAGGAAATTCCATAAGGATCAAGTCGGAAGTCAAAGTGACGAATGAGGAACTCTTTCTGCTGTTTGATGCCACGACATGAATAAACTCTGTCTGTTGACATGCTATGCTCTCATGGCTCTCTCTTTGATGTACACACATATACAATTGAACCCTAAGTGTGTGCAAAGAGTTACACTTTTGCATATTTACACATAAGAATGCATACAAGGAAAAGAGAACAAGGAAATGTGAGCATTTCCCTGTTAAGGTTAGGAGGAAGGAAGATTTATACATATGGGATATATGTACATGGGAACATTTCATTGTATGTTCTTTTTATCTCATATGGTAAAATTATTCTAGCATAACTGTAATCTCAAAGAAGTACTTAAATTTTTTATTAAGCAGTATAAGCTAATTGGTGATAGAAAATGACCAGTCACCAGCAACTTCATACATTCATACAGTCTTACAGCATTACTATCTGTGCTAAAGTGCAAAACTAGTTTTGAGTAATGCCCATGCACATCAAAGTCACATCATTCATGAGAACGGATCTGCAGACGTGTCCCAACAGTATATGACACATTAAAGCTTTCTCAAGCTTCCAAGCATGCATGAAGAGGACTTATTCTTGTTGAGTAATATAGGTTGAGTAATACCTCAGCTGTCGTTTTCCTATTACACTTTACGCATTTGTTTGTGTGCCCTGGAAATGGTTAAAGGCAAGTAAAATAGCCATGTGAATGGCAGATTTTTGCTGGCATGGGCTGGGTTCACTTGTCCTCTAAGAAGGAAAGGTTACTCCGTGTCAGTGGAAGTGATAACCTTTATCATGCAAAGAAACATTTCTGACCTTAAGGAGTCTCTTCCATGATGAAACTGATGTGACTCACATACCATGTTCTATGCAGTCATCAGATACCAAACCAGAAGAATGGTCCACCATTCTTGCAGTAATTCTAAAGACTTAGAGAATGAATGGCAAGGCACAAGTGTCACTCTGGAGGTACATGGTAACACAACAAATACTTTACTGCAGCTTTTCTTTTCTTTTTATGGAAGAATCCGATTTGAATGCTCCTTTCAGTTCAGATTTATTTTCATATAGCACCAGTTCTCAACAACAGTCATCACAAGGTGGTTACAATAAAAGAATGCTAACAAAATGTTATAACCATGCAGGACAAAGGCAGTTATCTGATTTATTCTATCCCCTGCCTTGTAATTAAAAAGAACAATACGGTCATTCACGTGATCACCAAACCAAAAAGGGTAATGTTTTTATACATTTAAAGTGACCATCACAAAAACAATGGGTTTAAGAAGATGGATCTGTTTCAGTCTGGAACGTCATAATGGTTAATTTCTCCTGTAATATGCAAGGCTGCAATGATTCTTCACTGTATTATGAATATTTTTAACAACCGCAGAGGACTCTTCCATTCTGCAACTGCCCCCTGGGCTGGACTTTTAATATTACTGACCAAAGGCCTCTTTTATTTAGTCCAAACAGCACGTTAGACAATGGACATGAGGGAAAAGATCACAATCTAAATATAAACCCTGCTATCTATCTATCTATCTATCTATCTATCTAGATACACACACACAAAAATTAAACAACAACATGCTATAGACTTCAAGCTTTACCATAGCTTTTAGTTTGGATTTGTTTGCCAAGTATTATAACCTATGCTTGTCTCAATCATGTTCAAAAAAACGATAATAGTCTGCCATGTCTTCCTTTCTTTAGTTAGTATTATGTATGTATACGTTATATATTAAGGTTTATTAAAGATAAAACTACCAAATATTCATTCAACGGCGCCATCTCGTGTTCATCCAGATGACCGCTCACCTTGAGTTTTCTCTCCGCTCTAATTTCTATTGGCTCCAGATCACTTGTCCCCCCCAAGTGACGTTTCACCGTCCTAGTGGCTCTTTCATGTGTCCGTCATACGAGTTTACGGAACTGTATCCACCCACTACAAAGATGGAGGACGATATCTCAGATATGAGCAGACCACAAATGTACTTATTTGGTGAGCTCGCTAATTCTGACAAACCCGATTTTTTTGTTTGCACAATCAGTTTTAACGTCATGTTGTCATGCACAAATAGCCACTGGAGATTCTTAATCGGAAGATAGCTAAACAGCTGGCTAGCCTGCTTACCCCCTCCCACTCGCGCCAATTCAGCTCTTTTGTTAGCTAGCAGAGCATGGCGTGGAGCCACGTAAAGAAGCAAAATGTATATACACCTCTTTATCTGATAAAATGATATGCATGTGCGTATGTTTATTTAAGACGAGCGCAACCTATGGTTGGTTACACGTATTGTTTCCCCCTCAGGTTGCACCTTGAAATCGGACAAACGGGAATTCAAAGTTGACCTAGACGGCGATGAAACGGAGCAGCAGCTGTCACTGAAAGCAGTAAGAATCAGACTTTAGATCGAGTTTGCTTGGTCTTGAAAAAAAATAATTTTTTGACTAATACGGCTATTAACTACGGAAGCCGAGATCGACATTGAGCGCTGTTATTCTTTAATGCTATGCTCTCGCGATAAATTGTTATGTGTCTTGTAAATTCGTAATAACATAGTTTGTTTTATCGCGATAAGATATTAATTATCCAGAAATTGGGAAATGCCTTTGTTATGGCACGTGAAGACAAAGGTATAGGCATTAAACAGAGAGAATAATATTACATATAGTATATATATAATTTAAAATACATCCACCCCTAAAAGACATCCACCCCTCAAATTTTCTATAATTCGCTTCCTAAGAGCCAGACTTTCTGGCTCTTTTAAATTATAAAGTGGTCTTGAGCAATATTTCCTCAGGATTTCTGGAGGTCTTTCAAAGCTTTTCTTTGGAAATTCGGTGCTTTCTCACTCATTTGCTGTTCTTTTCTGAAAATCGACTACTTGCAGTCTGTAGCAAAAACAAATTATCCGTTACGAAAAATGGCAGACATAAGAGAATTTGACAGCCATATAGTAGGATCTTTTGGTTTTTTTGGTTTTTGCATTGACAAAGTGATTCCCCAAGGGCTATCGGCCAAAGTCTTGGCTTATGTTGACATGGTGTATACTGTATCCTTAAAAAGAATTGAGGAAACAGGACATGTGGAGGACCAAAAAAAAGAAGTGGCAGTATGAAAAACTATTTACAGTCATATCCTTAAGAAACAGGAAATAAATCCAGCAAAGACCTGAAACAGGACCTGAGACATCAGATCTTTCTTCCATGTACTAGTTACTAAAATCTTATCAGAAATTGTGTAAGTGGAAGGGTGGCTGTCGAAAAGCCATTTTAAAGGAAAGGAGATGGGGAGAAAAGTCTGAGGTATGCCAAAATACACAAGAGCTGGACAGAAAGTGACTGGTAACAGGTCTCATGGAGAAATGAATCCAGATTTAACATTTTTGGTTCAAATTGCCTTGTGTATGTACGGATGAGGTCAGGAGAAAGGGTGAGTGTCGCTATTTCTGAAAAACAGAATGTAGAAAAAAAAACCTGTCAGATTTTACTCCACTGGCAAGAATCTCATTGTTAATGGCTTCATTTTTCATCCTGACAATAATCCAGAATACACCCAGTGCAGTAAAAGCATATCTCAATAAAAAAAAAAAACACAATGGAAGATTCCAGTCAGTCGTGGTTTGACCTCCCCAGAGCCCAGACCTGGACCTTATTGAAGCAGTGTGGCATCATCTTGACAGAACTGAATAAAAGGCAGCTGACATCCACAGAAGAGCTTTGAAAGACAAATAAATTGCATGTATTTCAAATATGGACTAAACAGACTTAAACTGGGTGTTTAGCCTAATCAGATGCACGAGGGAAGGCTGCTGGTTGAAGGATCAAAAAATCCCACATTGAAAAAAACCCCACTCCTTGCACCCTAGCAATTGTTTATTAGAAGTTCCTTACCAGTAGTTTGTCAGCTAGTGAGCAGTGGACTGGAGTTTCGGCTCTATTTTATATTCTCCTGAGAACATGATGTCTGAAATGTTAACATATTGGATTTTTGGTATTAATTTATATTTATTTATTAATTTATTGTCATGGAGGATTCACAACGTTAGTCTGCTAACCTTACTGATGCAGTAGGCTATTTACAGATGATAAAACAATAGTTTAATCAGATTAACAGTAACATTAAGAAGAACAGTTTATGTTTGCACCAAAAAAAAAAAAGAGAGACATTTTGCCAGTACATGGAGGTAGTGTTATATAGCACACTGTTATTTTGTTCCAGGTGTGTCTGGGAGCTGAGGCTGAAGATAAGTTCCACATGGTGGAAGTTGAAGGCCTCACTTACGACGGGAAGACGACAAAAGTGCCGCTAGCTGTCCTTAAACCTTCCGTCCTGCCCTCTGTGAGTCAGCACCAACACTGACAGAAGTATTTAAGAGGCTTCTGGTTTAAATTAACTTGTTTTTACGCTCTTCATGCCTAATAAAAAAGAGAACTAAAAAGAAATGGCATTCTCTCAGAACCATAAATACAAACATTACACTGTGCTGATAAATCTAAATAATTCATAAATCGTTGACAAAATACTTATAATGTCATCTTCCTTCCTGCTATGTTTTTCTCCAGATGAGTTTAGGTGGATTTGAGATTACACCTCCAGTTACCTTCCGTCTCCAGTCTGGTTCTGGACCAGTTTACATAAGCGGGCAACATTTTATTAGTGAGTATTAAGGTTAAGACTCAGGTAACTATTTGCCTCATTGTTAAAATAAAGTAGGCATACCTACTGAAGACCTTGTGAGTGGAAAAATAGCAAGTTGTAAGTCTGACCTTCATGCTCGGTAAAACTATACAGGGTCAAATTTTCCAGCCTGAAAAAAGTCCACATATGACTTTACACTTAATTTCTTGAGTAAGTTTTTCTTCTAAAACAGTGTTTTGGGGTAAAATAACATAAAGAAAAGTTGTATGATTGTTTGACAATATGTTGACCAGTGTGTTCGCTCTGTCAGGTGTGAAGGATTCTGATGACGAAGAGGAGGAGAACAATTCGTCGCCGGTAAAGCGGCCTGCAAATCTGCTGGCAGGGAAGAAACCCCCAATGGTAGTTATTGACATTGTCGTATTACATTGCTTTAAATGTTTTATATTTGCACTTATAGCGAAACTAATCATTGTTTACAGAAATTGTTCTCCTGCCGAGTGGTGGCTTACTGCATAGCCTTCTGTTTAATGGTTGTCACGCTTAGTAATCGGTGATAAGATGCTATCGCGGGACGTCAGCATTAAAGTGTGCACTGTTACTTATTCTGACACCCCAAATAAGCCTCAAATGTTGTTTTTGACAAAAAGATGATTCGTATTTCTTGTAGAAAAAGCTGAAGATGGATTCTGATGACGATGACGATGATGACGATGAAGAAGACAGTGATGAAGATGATGATGAGTATGTTTTTATTTTATTCATTTATTTAATTGGCTGAGTTTTCTAAATAATTTTGCATTCTAAAAGATAACATCTTTGTAAACTCATAGTATAAAATCTATTATTTTGTGTGGGTTTTTTTTTAAATTTTGGGCACAAACATCGAGCAGTGTAGCTTTTAACCAGCTTACTTGCTTCTTGTAGCGATGATGACAGTGATGAAAATGATGTGAAGCCACAGAAGAATGTGGGAAAAGTGCTTACAAAGGTAAGCTTCATCCGTTTTGTTTTATTACAAATAACAATCAACCTTTAGGTTCTCCATGTTAAAAAATACGAGAGTAGGTTTGAGGTACAATCAAATATGGAGGAAATATGGTCAAATAAAAACATTTGTGTATCATGGAGTTTGTGATAAATGCAGTTTGGATTTGTAATCATGTGGGTCGTCTATGGAGCTTGGAAAGAAAGTGACTGGAAGTTTCTTGAAGACATTTCTCCTCTCATCCGAGGAGCTTTTTGAAAAGTGAAGAAGCTTGCTTTCTTTCCTGCTTAGACTAACTTGACCTGGATGACTGAGAACCTACACAGACATATCGTGTGCCTGCTTTCTGCATCTTTGATTTAGGTAGCACCCTATGCTAAATTAAACAGAATATTTCCAGTAGTGAGTGTGTCAAAAGTGGGCAGTCCCTTGCTTTGTGCTACATGTGAGAAAGGATAATCTGACCTGATTCTCACCATATTTTTTAAAGTTTGTGCGTTAAACAGCTTTAGAAAAGCAGAAATCACCTATTTGCTTCATCAAACTCCATTAATCTCTGTCTGACTTGACGTTAATAAACCTTCATTTGTTTATAAAAATGCTGCACACCAACTGGCCCACTGAAAGAGTGTTATTGGAACTCTAGTGGCACCAGATGAAGCCTGGATTATACTAGGTTGTGGACACGGACAGCTGGAGACTCAGTGGCCGAGTACTGATTCCTGTGATGCTTCTTTGAAGTCTGCTGCCTCGAGCGTCACCAGGACCCGAGTGGACTCGTACATGCAGAAAGTATCATTTCTGTTTAACCCCAGTCATACAGCTTAAAGGAGAGAAACATACGATTCTGTCCTTGCTCATTTAAGTATTAACGTTAGTGTCATTGTAAATAAATAAAGAGGACTGTTTACATTTCATAACCATTTCTGGTAGTATGTTTGGGAAACGTTGCTACAAAATTAATATGAACCAGTGCTCATCAGAGCATCAGAATTTAGTTGTTTTTCTAACCCTAAGAACATAATGAGCAGTTAAATTGGAATATCTCTGAATATTAATAAAAATTGTTTAAGTTTTTAGAGCTTCTGTCCAGAAAAAACTTTTTATTTACAACTTTTTAGTTAAAGAAAACAACAATAAAAAGCTAACAAAGAGATGCCATCACCATCAGTGTCTCGAATTTTGCTATTTAAATCACATTGAACCAAACTTTTATCATGTAATGTACTGTGATGACTGTTGCCCTTTAAGCTTGGTAAAAAACACAAGCAGATCATTGTGGATCTTCGTAGTTCTCAGTACCTGAGAGGAAACTGCCATGATCAAACTACTTTTCCATACACAGCGTTTTTCATTGCTTTGTTGCGGTCATAATTACAGAGAAGAAGGGCAAGTCCATTTTGTTTATTTCCACTCACAGTGAATTCAGTTGTTTATTGCTTTCTTTGCTTTCTTGCTTTCTTTTCTATGAGCTTTTTAAGGCACTTGATAGATTAGTAGAGCTAGAGCAATTCTCAGGGTGCTGTTACCCCCATTTGAGAAGCTACTATCTGATAGGCTTGGATAATTTGTATTTGACAAAATTCATTAGATGCAAGGACATATTTTTCCAGCCTGTCTTTGAGAGCTGTGGATATTTCTTGCGTTTCAGTAACTCTGATTCTTTGTTGTCCACTAGATGTCAGGGCAGCCATTAGCGTCCCCTTAGTGTTTGTTTGTGTGTGCGTGTGTGTCTAGAAAGAATTTCTCTAACCCTTTTTTTAAACCACATCATTTAAACTTCCACTCACTGTATGCTACAGTAGCATTTCATTTTAGCGGGCCCTCCCCATTCGTGCACTCGCTGACCGTCCACCTCTTTGTATGAGACAAAACATGGAACTTTTTCATCCTGTTCGCTCAAGTACCCACCTGTTTTCCTAGAGTAAAACACAGGGTCTGTGTGGTGTAATGATCGGATTTCTCCTCTGTAATCTGCTTGAATTCTCACCGTCTCACCAGCAAGACAACAGTATGTTATGCTGTGCGTAAGCAGACACACACACACCTATATAAAGGGATAGATACACTTTAGTAGACATGCACATTTGAACATATAAGTACATATAATCTCTAGCGTAAATGCACAAAGTCTGCAAACATATGCACTTCATACTGGTAGTGCATAAGCAGAGAACTGCACTCTACATACTGTTTCTCACCCATGCGTGCTCACACGCACATGCACTTCAGTTATGGGAAACATCTTCAACCATTTTTCTGAAACACTGCATATCTTTGTCCCTCTGTCATCCCACTGTTAATATGATTGCTCCTTTTTATCGTTTCTCATGCCATTTCAGCTTTGCACCTGGGTTTTGCCTTTGAACACTTGTTTTGCATGTTACCACAATCGCTTGCAAGTGTGTGGGTGCGTGTGTGTGTATCTGCCTCATTTTTACGTCGGTGTCTGTTTGTGATTTCGTTCTTCTATTTTTTTTTAAAAGCACGCTATCCAAGTGCAAACTCTGCCAGGCAAAAGATCAAAGCAGGGCAGATGCGCATACCTGCGACGTGAGCGCCGATCCTTCCCTCAGGGTCAGATGACAGCTGAGCATTTCTGTCACCTGTTGATTTATTCTGTTGTCTTCTCTTCCAATTCCTCCTGCACCCCACACCCCATTCCTTCCATGACCTTAATCCTTTTTTTCACCCTTCATCTCTTTAGCTCAATAGCTACCCTGTCTCATTCTTTAATAATGAAAGCACAAAGCTTTGGGGAAGTAGGGCTGGGAACAATTATTATCCCTTTTTTTTTGACTGCTAATTCAGCTGTGTTTCAAGCTATATTTTGCTTTCTTTTTCTTGTCAAGCCTCCATACTGTACTGAATAGGACCCAAAATATCTCAGACATATTCAGTATCAAAATTGAATCAAATCCTTTTTCATATGAATCTACATTTCTTGTTATTATTTGATCATGTATTTTTGATGAACAGGTAATCAGATTATTATGCTGTTCTTGTGTAGATTAGTATCGTCATGGGATCTCACGTGTTTTAAATAATTACACACTACTTTTGTGTTTCTTGCAACAGATTTGTACAGGGTTAATAAATGTTCTTTACTCAAATTTACTGGACAGCAAATTGCCTATTGATTGGAAGATTTCGTGCTCTCTCTAAACACTTAATATCATTATTAATGGACTGTAATAACTGTTGAGCCTGTTGAAAGACTGGAAAATGTTCCTTACCACAAGCTGACACGCGTGTCACTCATCTCATCATCCTTCAAGAGTTGGTCTTTGGTTTCCTCTTTCTGTGAATGGGTCTTAGTGCTTTGTAGCAACATGAGCGCTCTAAAGTTGCACCCAGAATACCTTCATAACTCCTGAGTTGGAAAGAGATGGTAGAAAGGTGTGAAGAGAACAAAAAAACAATGGAAAAACAAGAGTTTCCGAGGTCATCCACCTGCTGACATATTACAGAATCTCTGTGTTTGGGTAGATGTGGTAGATATTTTTGATTAAACTTTAAACATTACAAGAGTTGCAGGTTTGCATTGGTCGTAAAGTCCTTTTTGACTGGGTACCTACTAGAGATGGCACGATACCACTTTTTTATGACCGATACGATACCGATATCATAAATTTGGATATCTGCCGATACCGATATAAATCCGATATAGTGTGTTTTTTAATCAATAAAACTGTTTTTTAATATCTTGCTGCATTTTGTATAAGTTCATACTCAAGTTTAAATAAACAGCAACTCTAAAGCTATTCTGTTATACCTGTATGTAAAAAATACACTGCACCCAAAATATTTCATAGTTCAGCAAAACTGATCAATCTAATAAACTTAAACCTGCTCCATCCTCCCTATTCTGGTATTTTAAAGAGTACTTAGCAGAAATATTAAGCAACCTAACTAATAGGATTGCAAACTCCCAGCAAAAACAATAGGGAACCCCCCACCCTCCACCTCATGATGCTTAATCGACGTAATCAACTTTAATTTGATGCAGCGTGGAAAAAAAATGCACAGAAATAAATTATTTTTCAAGAATAATTAAATAGATTCAACATCTTTCTTCAACA